GAAGAAGAAGAAGAAGAAGAAGAAGAAGAAGAAGAAGAAGAAGAAGAAGAAGAAGAAGAAGAAGAAGAAGAAGAAGAAGAAGAAGAAGAAGAAGAAGAAGAAGAAGAAGAAGAAGAAGAAGAAGAAGAAGAAGAAGAAGAAGAAGAAGAAGAAGAAGAAGAAGAAGAAGAAGAAGAAGAAGAAGAAGAAGAAGAAGAAGAAGAAGAAGAAGAAGAAGAAGAAGAAGAAGAAGAAGAAGAAGAAGAAGAAGAAGAAGAAGAAGAAGAAGAAGAAGAAGAAGAAGAAGAAGAAGAAGAAGAAGAAGAAGAACAACAACAACAACAGCAGCAGCAGCAGGAGTGCCACGCACCTTCTCACAGCGCGTCTCAATGGACGGCAGCTTTGGGTTGTGCTTGTCGAGTTGGCGGCGGGCGCGTGGCACCTTCGCCAGCGCACGTGCTGTTGGCGGGTTGCGGACCGGCTCACCACTGATGGGCAGCCCGTCTGTCGCCACGGTGGCGTGGTGGAGGCTGGCAAGGAAGTGCTGGGTGAGGGTTGCGAGCAGCCCTGGCTTTTGCGCGGCAGGAAACGCTGCCCACTCCCACGCACCGGCCTCGGTCTTCTGCGCACGTGCACATGTGTGGTTGTGTGATTGTGATGATGTGTGGTTTGATGTGTATGTGTGTGTGTGTGCGTGTTGTGTGTGAGTTGTATTGTGTGTTGGGTTGAGTGTGCGAGGAGACAAAGAAGGAGTGTGGGTGCATGTCCAGGGTAGCGGGAGCGTCGCTTAAAAAGGTGCACTCGAGTTTCGGAGAGGGCGCACAGAGGTAGGCACACATACACATAAACAAACACACACACACACAAACAGACCGACAGACAGACAGACAGGCAGGCAGGCAGAAAGACAGGCAGACAGGCAGATAGACAGACAGACAGACAGGCAGACAGGCAGACAGGCAGACAGACAGACAGACACACACAGACACAGACACAGACACACAGACAGACACAGACACACGGACCCACAAGGGCAATGCTAGCACGACATTGGAACCGCACCGGGGCGATGACAAAGGGGCGCATGCCTTTGAGCGGGGCGTCGGCGATGGTGGAGAGCGGGTGGCACGACAGATACAGCAGCGCCGGCTTGATCAGGCGCGCCCAGTCGTTCTGAGCCTGATGGTGGCGGTGATGGTGAAGGTGGGGTTGGGTGAAGGTGAGGTGTTGAGAAGACAGGGGACACTTTGATGGGAAAGCGTAGAAAGAGGGACACACGTGAACTACAACCATTTGCCACAACACAACAAGCACACACACACACACACACACACACACACACACACACACACACACACACACACACACACACACACACACACACACACACACACGACAACACACCACGCCAGACACAGACACACATGCGGCCATCTTGTCTCACTTTGCGCCAGGAGCATTTCCAGGAGAGGTAGTGCTCCTGCCACGTTTTCATGGTCTTGGTGATGGCAGACAGCGTGGCACCGTGCTTGTGGCGGCCCGCCTTCTTTGCATTGAGCTCGTTCATGATGCGATGAAGCAACAGGAAAAAAGAGTCGGCGTTGCGACTCACTTTTTCCCTGGTCCGCGTGGGCACATGTACAGGGACAGGCAGCCAAGCAGCCAAGCACGATACCACGCACGTGTGAGTCATGCACGACAGATGACCGATGACAGCAGCATCGCACGCTTGCAGGCAAGCAAAGGGAGGGAGTAGACGCGCACATTACTCACCACCACTGTGTAAAGTTGATGCTGCGCTCGGGGGCCATCGGTTGTGCTTCAAGCAGCGAGTCGCGAACGGTGTTGATGTTCAGGGTTCTGCGGTCAACTTGGCGCTTCTTCTTCTTCTTGCTCTTCTTTCCACCTTTCTTGTTCTTCTTCTTGTCCACCTTCAATGGTGCAATCAAACAGCGCATGCACACAAGTCAGTCAGTCAGTCAGTCAGTCAGGTGGGGTTCATGGCCAACGGTGTGCAGCTTGTAGGACCCAACACTCACCACAGCATCACACGCACAAACACGCAAGCACACAGAGCGACTCACCGCTGCTTCTTTGCTTTTGCGGAGGGGACGCAACACTGGAGGACAATGGGTTGGTTGGACGACATGGTGGCAATGGGAAGGAGACATATGAGTGTGTTCTTCAAGGACCCACTCAGGGAGGACACAGATGCCGACACGCAACTAAACACACACAAACACACGCAAACACACAAACGCAAAAACACACAAACGCACACACAAACACACACAAACACACAAACACACACAAACACACAAACACACACACACACACACACAAACACACACACACACACACACACACACACACACACACACACACACACACACACACACACACACACACACACCACGCCAGACACAGGATGGCAAGACGCAAGGGCAAGAGGGCTGCTGCTCAACGCGGGGTGAAGAAAGAGGAGGAGGAGGAGGAACAGGTTGCGGAGATGGACGTTGTCGCGGACGTGAGGGAAGAGGAGGTGGAGGAGGAGGAAGTGAAGGACGACGAGAGCAGTGGCGAAGAACAACAAGAACACGAGGAGTATTTGGACGAGGAAAGCGATGATGCAGAGGAAGACGATGCAGAAGATGACGAAGATGACAATGACCAGGAGAATGAGGATGACGAGGATGAGGACATCGTGTCTACATTCAAGTTGACGAAAGGCGGCAAGGCCGAACGCAGTGGTCAGGCCGGTCAAGGTGATGACGGAGCTGTGCGCCTGTGCATGTGCGCGGGCACGTACGAGCATGCGCTCTATGGGTATGACTGCTACGTGAAGCGCAACCCCGAGGATCCCGTGGACGCCACTGCGTGCCGGTTCAGCAAGACGTTTGTGCTTGAGGCCCACACCGCCATCGTCTCTGCCATTGGGTCTGGTGGCCGCTTTGTCATTACGGGCAGCGTCGACGAGCAGCTCAGGTGCGGAGACTGTGCAGTCACGCACTCTTTTGCGTGTGTGTGGACGTGTGTACGTGCGTACATGTGTACGTGTACGTGTGTACATGTGTACGTTTGCGTGTGTACGTGTGTGTGTGCGTGTACTTGTGCACGTACGGACACAAGGCCACGACTTTGACTCGGCTAATTTCAACTCACTGCTTGCTGATGCAGGGTGTTTGATGTGAAGAAGAAGGTTGAGGTTGGGCTCTTGACGCTGCACGAGGGCACCATCACGGGCATTGCGTTTCACGAAGGATCCAACGTGATCACTGCGGCGGATGACGGCGTGCTTTGCATCTGGGACACCCAAGATTGGGTCAACCTCAAGACCCTCAAGGGCCACAAGTACGTGGCATCGCACACCCAGCTGCACGTCACTGCTGGTCTCTCTCTTGTCTGTATGTGTTTGCTTGTGTGCGTGTGTGTGTTTGTTTGTGTTCGGGAAAGACTCGGGTGTGCTGTTGAAGATTCAAGCGGCAGACAGCCACCAACCACCGCATGTTGATACATAGCTGATGTCACACACACACACACACTCACTCAAACACACATGCACACACACACACACACACACTCAAACACACACACACACACACACATGCACACTCAAACACACATGCACACACGTGTACACCTCCACTGACGAGCAGGGGCGGGATCACGTCGGTGGCCGTGCATCCGTCTGGCAAGATTGCGCTGTCGCTGTCCCGTGACCGCACCCTGCGTATCTGGAACCTCCTCAAGGGACGCTGCGCCTTCACCGCAACGCTCAGCCAAGGTGGAGTGGGCTGGAGTTTGGTTGGCTGTTGCTTGTGTTGCAACGTTGCCTTGTTCATGGCTTTCTATCACTCAACACATACACTCATACACATACGTACGCACACACACACACACACAAAACAAATGATGTATATCCATCTCCTGTGCGCAGTTGGCGAGCAGGTGCTGTGGTCGCCTGACGGCACAAAATACGTCATCATCAGCAACGACAAAGTGGAGGTGTTCTCCATGGCCACCAGCGCCATCATCTGCAGCTTTGAAAGCCCCTGCAGGGTCAACGGCGCAGCGTTTGTCGACGTGCGTCCCCTCCCCCCGTGTGTGTGTGTGTTTGTGTGTGGTTGTGTATGTGTGTGTGCGTGTGTGCCAGGTGTCATGGAGCTTTTGTCGTGTAACTTGCGTCCTGCGTCCTGCATCTTGCGCGCCAATGTGTACTGGCATGTACACGCAACTGCTTTCATGTGTGCGTGCTTGCTGCTGTTGATCAGACCGCTCACTTACACCTTGCCACGACTTCACCCCACCTCTCTTGCATTGCGTTTGCGTGTTGCAGTCGCGCCACCTTGCGTTTGGCGGGTACAGCCCTGTGCTGTATGTCGTCGACGTTGACACATCCGCCATTGTCACCGCGTTTCCTGCACACGAGACAAGGTGCATGCGTGTGTGTGTGTGTGTGCATGCGTGAATGTGTGTGTGTGTGCATGCGTGAATGTGTGTGTGTGTCAACACGTGTCGCCATGCACCTGTTAATGTCCACAACAAACGACAAGCGTGTGCTGCTTGCATGCTATGGCAAATTTCTTCCACCACTCCGAACACTGACCCAGCAACGGCACAACAACAACAACAACAACAACAACAACAACAACAACAACAACAACAACAACAACAACAACAACAACAACAACAACAACAACAACAACAACAACAACAACAACAACAACAACAACAACAACAACAACAACAACACGACCACCACTACCACCACCCAGGATCAAGAGCGTACAGTCTGGTCCGCGCAACGCCGATCACAGCACATATGTCGTCATGACGGCCGACTCCAATGGCATCATCAAGGTCTGTGGCTGGCAATGGCTCTTGTAAGGGCATGGTGGTTCATGGTCGTGTGTGGTGGTCTACTGATTACTGAACTCGTCGCTTCTGCCTTTAGCCATTGGAACATGTTATTGCAACTATTCACACACACACACACACACACATTGCCTGCAGGCGTGGTC